TAGGACCTTCAGCAATGCCAAAGCCCTTGGCAGAGTGCCTTTCCCAACACATTCATATCAAATCTAATACCAGAAGTTCTAAGCAGTAAGGCAAGAAGTAAAAGTCATACATGGTTCAAAAATAAGTAAATTGTCTCTATTTGTAGATGATATTAATTGCCTGCACAGAAAACACCATCAACTTCATTAAAAAAGTCCCCAATAGAAGTTTAGTAAAGTTGCAGGATACAAATTCAATATCCAAAAAAATCCTATTTCTATATACCAAATTTAAAAATTGGAATTTTGTTTCAAGAAGTTAGGTGCTACTTCAATAGCACTAAGAAAGTGAAATAATTAGTGACAAATCTAAGAAAATATGTGTAAGATCTATAAACTAAATACTATAAAACACTGATAAATTAAATCAAAGATGAATCTAAAAACAGACACCATATCCATAAATTGGAAGACTCAACATTATTAAGATGTCAATTCTCCCCCAGATTGACCCATATATCCTCTGAAGTTTCAATCAAAACCACAGCAGAACTTTTTATAGATAGTATATCCCTAAATGAGAACTACAAGTAGGAGTAACTGAAGATATATTGCTTTATTTTAATAGCACAAAGTCACCAGTGAGCATAGCCTTTACCTATTACTAGTAAACTCTGAAAATGCATTCATTTTCCCAAATGGATACCCCAAGCAGTACCATTGAAATTACTGAATCTATAGTGGAACTCTACCATTCTCTGGCTTTACGCATAAACAAAACCATTATGTGTCTAACCAATTCAAGAACAGACCACCAGTTCATAGATGATCATTCCACATCTCCCACTAGATCACAGGACTAATTAACAGCACAGACAAGGGGACTTGCCATAACTTTGTTAAATATATAATCTAGTTCATCACCTGACTTGGTTTCAGGACAAAGAAATGAATATACTGCATAGCCAACTACAAAGGAGAATTATACAAAGAAAATGAAACAACAGAAGAGAAGCCAATGAGGAAAAAAAAAGCACAAACATGACTGTATAATTCTTTGATGTAAATATAAGAGAAATCATCAACAAAAATTATCCGTAACATTTAAGAATGTAAAGCAGAATATAAGGCAGTGAAAACAGAAAGTCAAAAAACTGAGGGCAGGAGTGGTAATAACTTGGACCAGGCCCCCAAAACAACAAGCCAACATTAGGACAACAAACAGAGATCAAAAAGTAGTAATAGGGGCACCTGGGTGGCTCAGTTGGTTGAGCATCCGACTTTTGATTTCAGCTCAGGTCATGATCCCAGGATCGTGGGATGGAGCCCTGCATCAGGCTCTGCACTGAGTGTGGAGCCTAGTTGGGATTCTCTCTCTCTCTCCCCCTCTCCCTGTGACCTTCCCCCTCTTGTCCACGTGTGCACGTACGCTCTCTCAAAAAAATAAGAAAATTAAGTCCATTAAAATATTTTTTAAGAAGGGTAGTTAATAGTCACAGGATCCAAAATCTAGGTTTGGATGATAAAATGGAAACAAAAACCATGTATTTATTTTGATAATATATGTGATGCTGACAGTTGACTTACAAAATACATAGTGTAAAAAATAAAAATGAAAAAATTTAAATGTCCAACTTAGGTGAAGTAGGGAAGGTTGGGGAAGAATATTTCACGGAGTTTTTCTGTTAGAGTATACAATTCTGATGCATGTACTTCATCTAATCATTACCATCAGTTTTCAATTATTCTCATACCAATAATGAATCACCAATGTTTTTGACTCTCTACTACCTTGGCTACTCCCCACTTGATGGAGGTTTCAGCAGATGGTCCATTTCTATTTTTCTGGTAAAACATTTGTTGTGAAAGAAATTTAAAGTTGAGGAGCCAAATGAAATTTCTGAATTGGCTTTAAACTGAAATAATTAATCCTTTCTTCATTGGGCTTTAGTATCAGAGTGAGCTGAGAGCTCTGTTAAGTATTCATTGAAAAAATACTCTTGAAGCAATACAATTTAAAATGTGATTTTCCAGCCATTAGATACTGCTTTTGTATATACACTTTGCAAACAAGTTTCAAAGCGCTTTTCAGTTGTGGTTAATTTCAATATTTCACCCAGTTACTTTTTTTTTTTTTTTTTTTTTACTCACAAACTCAGAATCATCAAAAATGTAGCATGAGAACCGGACACAAGCTGGGTAAGAGTGAACGGACATGAATAGTGCAGTGTAAATGTGGATAACAAACTACTCTCTCACATTCACAGTTGTTCAAACTTAAGGGAACAAATGTATACAATTAAAAATCAAAGATTCCCATATCGAAAATTTTAGGAATTAAAATTCCTAGGCAATCAAAATACTTATAACAAAAAACAAAAACAGAACTTGGGGAAAGAATTTTAATGGAGACATTTGGGGGTTTGATGCATATATATTGCTTAGTTATCATTTGCAAGGTAAAACTGTTTTTCCAGGTTATTAATTAGCTAATAATTAATCTATGAAATTATTTTATAATATAAAATCTGGTTTTAAATCACCAAATTTTCAAAATTAGTATCCAATATAAATACAAAATGTACAAGTATAAAACGTACAAGTATAAAAATTTGTTACTATGTAAATAAGAATCTTTATAAATTCTGACATGTAATTTGACACTAATTTTTTCATGAAAATAACAATCTAATTCTGAATCCAATGGTTTAGATATTTTCATCTTTGTTAAAAACAAAACAAAGGAAGTGAAGATTATCCAACTAACAAATCAGAGAACCTTGTAATCACCAATTTGTGGTTTTTAAAAGAAAAACTATACTAAGCATTGTGTGCAATAAAAGTAATTGTTGTGATATCTTGTGTATCCTTATTCACAAGTCACTTGCACAGGGAATAAAGAGCAATGTCCAAATCTGAGCTTTTTTGCTGCCATTATTTCTTACAGAGATACCAGAATTTTTTTCTACAAAATAGTTTGAGTATAACATGGAAATACTATATTACAGAGAATTACACAAAACACAGATATAAACTTCAACAGAAAGAATCAAAGCTATATTGTGTCCCAAAGAATGCTTGACTTGCCAAAAGTCATACAGCTAATAAGCAGTGACTGAACCCAGATCATCCAATTCTAAGTCCCAAGTATCTTCAGAATTTTCCAGAGAGAGGGCCAACTATTTGGGGGGGTGGGGGATGGAGGTAGCAGAGTTCTAACACTGGCACTGCTACTACCTTACCTAGACTTTTTCAAGTCATTAAACTTCTTTGTGCCTTGGTTTCCTCTACTCCATAGGGATATCTTGATGATAAACACAAGCATACTTGAACTCTTTGGCAGAAAAGCACTCTGTGTATTTCACTACGTTAATGATTTCTTTTCCCCACCGCAAGTTTCAATTGATGCTAATATCTTTTCTCTGATTCTAGTTTGAAGCTGTGATATTTGAAGCTTGAAGTAGTATTGTGTGTGTGTGCGCGCGCACGGGCGTATGCACACATGTGCATGCTATCTTTGAACATGGCTGGCATTCTAGTGACATCGTTTTTGGCAACTTTCAAAATGCATGAAAAGTTAAGTAGCACAACATTTTAATACTTCGCATTACCAAAGCCTTGTCTCCCCAAACTGTGCATAAAATTTTAGGAATTCACAACAAAATTTTCCACTCTCAACTTCTATAAAAATACAATTAAAATTCATATACCACTCAGCCAGCCCCCCGTGAAATTTAAACAGTACAAGAAGATTACAAAAATGTATAATGATTTTTAAATAAGGGAATAATTCCAGTTACAAATTAGAAATTTGGCATACATTTTAAAAAGTGAACATAAGTAATATTCCTAAAATAATGGAAATAAGTGATTATCAATATTCTAATAATTCAGTCATTTGCAAGGTCTTCTATTTTGTCAACAGATATAGAATCCACTCACTTTATATATTCATATCTAAAAAAAAAAACCAAACATTTTTCTCAATACTGAGAATAGGTAACCAAAAATAAATCTAATTTTAAAGTAATATTTTAAGTTAATTACTTACACCAATGTTTTTATTCTTTTGACAACATATCCATTTTAAAATAATTTAGTTTTTCAACTTATGAAGACATAAGACAAGGAAGACAAGTTAGGAAGACAAACTAACTTCCTTTTTCCTTTACTGAAATGTTTACCCAGTAACACTAGCATATGGCTACATGTAATATTTAAGGAATAGCAATCCATTAAAAGTGCCCAGGTTAAAAACAGAAATAGCCAGTTGAACTAAAATATTGCAGCGAATGATTAGTATGTATCTACTAAATAAAAGGGTTACCGATGGTAAAGACTGAGTAGTAATCTGAAAAGAACCTCACATCACTAAGTCTTTATATAATGAGACTATGGTAATATCAATAGAATTTTTAAAAAATAATTTGAAGTAGAACCACCTTGGACTAATCTTGTTAATATTTTGAATGAATGAATGAGTGAATGAATACCTGAATGAATACTGCAGTCGTAACAATGTTTATTTAACACCTTGAGATGTTCACAACAATTCGAAATACAGAGAAGATGGACTTGAATACAAACAAACTAGTTGAAATTCAATGTGGTTCACAGTAAAGATGCAGTGGCTTTCTATTTGTAGAACAAAGAATCTCAACCAAAAACATATATACGACTCAAAAATTCTCCAGGGCAATCATTTAGGCTTCAAAAAGAATATACCCTAAAACCACTTTCTCTCCCCCCTCCACCTCCCTGCATTTTTTTTTAATGTTTGGCATAAGTGAACAACAAACCAGAATAGAATACACATTTTTAAAAGACTAATTTACTCATAGTCTATTTAAGATCAGCATACAACCACTTATAAATATAGCCTTTTAAAAAAGCATCCTTATATAAAATGGGGGGGGGGGAGAGAAACCCCTGCTATCCATATGAAGCACAGTTTAAGCCCAATACAACTGACCAATCAAAATTAGTGAATGCACTGCATCTCTCTGCAGTGGAGAGAGGCGACAAGGTAGGCTGTCACTCTGCAAAAGCTGCCCCGAACAGGCTTTCCTCTGAAAAGCAGTGCCATTCCTTTTTAAAAGACTGAATCCAAATGTTGTCTCTGGAGACAAGAAGCCTTCAGTATGTTCAATTACTTCATTACGTTTTTCAGATGCTTATTGATTCCACAGTAGGAAGAGTGAGAGACTGCAGCAGCCTCTAGGCAGCACTCCACGTTCCATACATTAGCAGGACTGCTGAGACAATGGCACAGTACAGACACATATTTTCATTAAGGTCTTTTCTGAAGAGATGTTTATGACCCTCTTCCCCAAGTCCTCTGCTAACAAGTGAACAAAATGAATCAATCAAAACTGGAAACGCTTCAACTCCATCAGGAATTTATCAAACCTTTAGCGGAGGTAAGATGTGTTCCCTTATTACAGTATACGGCTGCTTTTGAACTGGCATAGTGGGGTAAAATTACTTTGAAAATTGTCAACCTAAATTTTAAGAGTTTATTTGCTTAATTCTATTTATTGCTAAACATGTCTTTTCTAGATCTTTTTCTTTTAGGACATAACATTTTAAATGTAATTTTTTTAGGATGCAATGTTAAATACCAAAAATATTCTTTGTTGATTCACTATGAAGACATCAGCTTTTAAGTCACTTCAGACCTACTAAAATATTCTTAATGTCATCAGTACAGTTTTTGCCAAGTGTTCAAAAATGCTTCTGTTTCTTCAAAGAACCAGGTTTACTACTTAGCTATTACTTATTATTCAGTTTTAGGTTAAGATTATTGAGCATGTTCATTGAAAATTATTTGATTTGCAGTTACATTTTGCATTACCTTTTACATTACAACTACATGGACAATTCATCAGTGGAAATGTCTACTATCTTATCATGGAATCTGTTTTAATCAGTTAAAATTCAAACCAGGTGCTAATAATTAAACAAGCTATAATGTTTTCCAGTAGGAAATAGTGTTGAATTTATTGTAAAGACATGAGAGAATGACAGTATGTTTAGTGTATGCTAATTGCTCATAATCTCCTAAAACACAGGTTAGCTTCTAAAATGAGGGCAGAAATTAGTTTTAAAAATGCAGCTTTTCTTTCATGGTTGTATTTATAATATTACCTCTGTTATCAAATAACGTAGTATTTGCAATCTCTGTTAGGAAAAGAAAAAATTTCGTTTAAAGAAACCCTTAAATTTATTTATGAGTTGTGGCTCTAATAATACAGTTTGCTTACTTTGATAACAAATACTGGGTACAGTGCTAAAGTAAACAAAACTAAAGTAACTTTGAGTTAATTGGAAATTATTAGGAACCCTATTTCTTAACCACTTTTTCTTTTTCACAAGGGCCCACGGCAGCTAATTCAGTATTTACAAGTGACAATATGAAGAATGCATCTGATCAAGCACCTCCCTAGCCGACTGAACCATAAACTGCAGGATATTCTTCTAACATATGCATTTAAGACAGTAAGGAGTTAAAACCAGAAAAGACAGGTCCACATTACTGCCGGGATACAAGACATCGACAGTAATCATCCTAAGAAGAAGCTCTATAAAATAGACATAAAAAGAAAAACAATTTGACTGCAAAAGCCTAAAACCAAAATGGTGAGCTTTTTTAAAGTGGGAGTTTATACTTTAACATACCAGGATTGTGGAGCTGATTCCTGAAGAAACAATGAGACACGGATTGCCAAAAAGAGAATGCCACACATTAGCAGCAAGCTAAATGAAGCTTTATCCAAGTCTTTTCTGCACTAAATATTCAGATATTCACAGCAGCTGATATTACTACTAAAGGATTTTCCCATCTAAGTTTTATGACTATGTATCCTCTTCTAATGAAAGCAAATCAAATTAAATAGCAGATGGTTTTTATCAAAAGAACATGGACTGGATTTAGAATATAAAGCAAGTTATGTGATCAAGAAATCATTTCAAAATAATGAGGACTGCTATAGAAACAGATTCACATTTATAACAAAAGGATGTCTAAATACATTTTAGAAGCTAGAAACCGTATGTTTCCTTTTTTGTTTTCACATATTCTGGAAAATAAAGAGACACTATCACATATTCCCTCAAAGGGAAATATAATTCCTACCATTTGAGGAAGTTTCTCTTGGTCGTGACTTTCTAAGGCAAAACAAATACAAATGTTTGTACTGGTCTTTAGAAATCCATCAGCCAACTAAATGTCACAATTCATGCAGTTTGAAGTATTGGAGAGAAAATGAAAGAATTTCTACAAGACATGAAATAAAACACAGCTACTTCACTGTTGTCAGGTAAAAATTCATGTCAAAATCTGTCAATGACATCATGTATCACTTTGTGAAAACCTGCCGTGGTGAGCCAAAGGGCCCATACGGCCACAGCAAACAGGTAGGTCAGAAGATGCATGCACCACGCGGTTTACCGTTTACCAAAGACAACAACCTCACTCTAGAGGAGATAGATGCACCATAGCTAATTACCGTCTAACTTGGCATGTCTGCTTTATTTAATTCTAAATGTCACTGAGGTGACAAAGATGTTTCATCTGTCAGTTCCAAAAATTTGGCACACTTAGAAGTCTCCATTTTTATAGGATTTCAGTGCTAGCTAAGACTTTCTCTTACTGGAGTATATGCCTCTAAGTAATACTTCATACCAAGTTCAAGACTAATTAATAAGGTTATCATTCGTGATTCTGAAACATCACCCCTAAAATAATACGCATAAATAAAACTGTATTCTAAAACTTGTCAGAGGTTACATCACGTGAAAGGTTAACATGAATGTGGAAAATTATTATATAGCCTTTATAATTTATGTTCAATTATGATTTTGTAGTCAAAATGCTGTACTTGAAATGTGAAATATAGTTGGTTGATTTTATATTTTAACTGAATATACTCACTCCTGACCTATTAGCCCAGAAAATCAGATATTATTTTTATAAATTACTCTAAACCGCTATACATTAAAATACAGATTTAAATGAATTAGCAAAAGAGTTGTTTTTCTAATTTTCCTCAAGATTATACACACTGGGTGATTTATACAAAAGGTTTCACAGGGATGTGTGACTTTAAAAGATTCCTCAGAAAATGGGCTTCAGATACTCCCTTTTCCCTAAAATTTCATATTTTACTTTAAAAATCCTGTTTGAACAAATAAAATCAAGAGATATATTCTTTTAAACCACTCCAAAAATGGTTATTTCTTATTAAGATATTAAATTTCAATTCCTCCTTCCACAGCATGAGAGGGTGTGGTCACAAAATAAATCATTCACTGGAGTGATTTACAGCTCTTTTACCAAGTTTTGTGGTGTTATATTTTAACATAATGTCCTTTTTCATCCAATTTGTATAACATTAAGTTTGTCCATTATAAAGTTGGTGAGCATTTTACTACGAAATATGTAATATTTATCATTTGCCTGCTTCTGTGGGAAATAACCCCAAATATCCCCAAGCACACTGTTGACTCATGAATATGAATTTCAACCAAGAACATGGACAAAATGGTTTTAAACAACTAGTGCTCTGTGCCATTAATCATTTTAAATGAACACTCGTCCTGTTCACTTGAAACCTCACGAGAATAATTACACCTACACTAATTATGCCAGAACATATTAAAATAGCGTTTATTACCCACCTACTCACAACATTTTAAGATGAAATCTAAAAACACCGGGCTAAAATTAGTTTTGCATAGTGGGTAGCTTTATTGTACAAAAATATACTGTATCTCAATAAGCTTGAAAAACCCAAATGAGGACTATCTTTTTAGAATATTAAGAAATTCTGAACAATATAGGAGTATTCCCCAGTCATCTTCAAAGGGAGAAGCCAACTTCCTATTACATCGAAACAATGCAACCTTGATGTCTCCTAACTCTACCTTTGCCGTTAACAGTTTAGAAAGTTTAAAGTTAAACCAAGTACACAATAAAAAGATTTTTTTTAACAAGGAACACATGTTTTATACGTCATTTAAATTGCCAAATATCAAAGAGTTTATTCTATTTCACTTTCTAGGGAAAACACCAACTGCTCCAAAAGAATGTGTTTTTCTCCCGTTCTGGAAATCAACATGCAGTCTGAATCTAACATTACAGTGCGAGATGACACTGATGACGTCAACACCAATATGTACCAACCACTTTCCTATCCATTAAGCTTTCAAGTGTCTCTCACCGGATTTCTTATGTTAGAAATTGTGTTGGGACTTGGCAGCAACCTCACCGTGTTGGTCCTTTACTGCATGAAATCCAACTTAATCAACTCGGTCAGTAACATTATTACAATGAATCTTCATGTACTTGATGTCATCATTTGTGTGGGATGTATCCCTCTAACTATAGTCATCCTTCTGCTTTCACTGGAGAGTAACACTGCTCTCATCTGCTGTTTCCACGAGGCCTGTGTATCTTTTGCAAGTGTCTCAACAGCAATCAACGTTTTTGCTATCACTCTGGACAGGTATGACATCTCTGTAAAACCTGCAAACCGGATTCTGACAATGGGCAGAGCTGCAATGCTGATGATATCCATTTGGATTTTTTCATTTTTCTCTTTCCTGATTCCCTTTATTGAGGTAAATTTTTTCAGTCTTCAAAGTGGAAATACGTGGGAAAACAAGACACTTTTGTGTGTCAGTACAAATGAATACTACACTGAACTGGGAATGTATTATCACCTGCTAGTACAGATCCCAATATTCTTTTTCACTGTCATAGTGATGTTAATCACATACACCAAAATCCTTCAGGCTCTTAACATTCGAATAGGCACAAGATTTTCAACGGGGCAGAAGAAGAAGGCAAGAAAGAAAAAGACAATTTCTCTAACCACGCAACACGAGACTACAGACATGTCACAAAGCAGTGGTGGGAGAAACATAGTCTTTGGTGTAAGAACTTCGGTCTCTGTAATAATTGCCCTCCGGCGAGCTGTGAAACGACACCGGGAACGACGAGAAAGGCAAAAAAGAGTCTTCAGGATGTCTTTATTGATTATTTCTACATTTCTTCTCTGCTGGACACCAATTTCTGTCTTAAATACCACCATTTTATGTTTAGGCCCAAGTGACCTTTTAGTAAAATTAAGGTTATGTTTTCTAGTCATGGCTTATGGAACAACTATATTTCACCCATTATTATATGCATTCACTAGACAAAAATTTCAAAAGGTCTTGAAAAGTAAAATGAAAAAGAGAGTTGTTTCCATAGTGGAAGCTGATCCTATGCCTAACAATGCTGTAATACACAATTCTTGGATAGATCCTAAGAGAAACAAAAAACTTACCTTTGAAGATAGTGAAATAAGAGAAAAATGTTTAGTACCTCAGGTTGTCACAGACTAGGGAAACATCTAAGTTTCACTAAGCCCACATTCAGAAGTTTTAAATTTAAATTGTAAAAAAATGAAATTACTGCCAAATATAAGAAAAAAACATTTTAAGTATTGGTTATGTTGTAAATTTTCAATGTAAATGTCAAGATTAGATTAGGTCATATATATTCAATTTCTTCATTACAATGTATTTGTTGCATGGCAGTTTGTTAAAGTAATATCATGTGTATATTTTGTCAATATTATGTCCATCAGAAGATATTCATGTAAGTCATATTTTCTAAATAATAAATACATAGCCTTAAAACAGTGTATAACTTTAAAATGTAACTGACACAGGTATCTTTGCTTTTCTTTTCTTTTATAAAGTGTATTTGTTTCTAAGCCACAAACTATAGATAGATTTATATAATGACGAGTGAAATAGCACTTTAACATAAGAACAAAAATTTGGGCTCCAAGCAATCAAAATAATTCAGGATTTTCTGTATCACTCTATTAAGTTTTCTGCTAGTCTACCTGGTGTAATATTTGATGAATCAAAAATAATGAACTGTATGTGAAACTTCATCCTTTTTCTTGCTTTTTGAATGCAGGAAATTGTAGGATTTATCAGGATTTTAAAATCTGACAACCAAGAAACAACCCTGTACATACACTCTGAGATAGAGAAACTTATTTTCTAAGATCAAGGGCACAATGCCTATAATATACAAATAAAGGGACAATAAAGGGAAGGAAGAAAACTAAAGCACCAGCCTCTTTCTTCCTTCCTCACTTTGCTGGAGTCTAAGCCAAATGGTCTGTATTCATACAACAGTAAACAGAACTATTAAAATCTGAATAAAAGGGGGAAAAAAACTTTGTATCATTGTAGAGAAGATTCACAAAGCCAACTATTTTTAACTGTAGATACATGGCAACTTTAGAGTAATATGATTTACACAACGTTCCTATACTAGTTCCTAAACTATATATAGTAGCTTCCAAATGTTTCAAAATACAATAGTTCTATTTCCACCCTTAAAATCATTAAAGCGACAATAAACCTAGTCAATTTTTTACTCTACACCACTTAATTTAACTTTAATCTTTATTCTGCCCTCTTCAATTCATGCTGGAAAATATAAAATTACTAAAACAGGTTTGGGAATCTCATATCAAATAAATATCTTCCAACTGTTATAATCCAATAATCTGTCAATGAGTGCTAATCATCACTGACTGTATCAGGAAAATAGCAATAAATTATTTAAAAATAGGCTAATATAGTAGTTGCTACCTTATAAGTAATTAACTGGACAGTTTTTTATTCTATTTTTTTTTAACACTGTATCCATTAAATCAAGCAGCACTTCATTTTTAAATAAAATTTTACATCAAACAATTCAATAATATATAACTTTTATGTAATTAAATGAGATTGAGATTGATCCAATGAAGTTTATGGAATACTTTAACCCTTGGGAAGTGAGCACCATGCAATAGCTTGAAATCAATGAGGTTACATGGGAAATTTAATAAGAGATTTCTTTCTGATAATAATGTTAACATGTCAAATCATGGCAAAGGTACAGTATCCTTCTGCCTTGTTTTCTACTTTTATGAAATTAAAGAAATGGTTCAATTTAACAAAATGTACCATAAGAAAGTAAGACATTTTGGGGACCCTAGAGAAATTCTTCATTGTTAAGATATTAAAAAATTTTTCATTCAGTAAATGTATTTGACACAGAATATCTCCTAATATAGCCATTAAAAATTTTTAAACTAATTTTATACTTAAACTCCCAAGCATAAATTATAATTGTTTTCAATTTTATAATCTTAATAAAAATTAGACTATTTTTAGAGTTTTCATATTAAGAGAAACCCTTTGTGTTTTAAACATTTTTAATCTTCAAGTCTATAAGCATGCCAAAGAACGCGGTTAAAAGATATTTTTAAATATATTTGTCTAAACTGCTTTCATGCCCTCTTGTTGTCTGTAATAAGAAACCTAACAAAATAAGTAATAAATGGCAAATATTATAATGTTGCCTTCTAAACTGCTATTATTTCTACACTTGACACTAGAGTAGACAATTAACAAGCATTTTTTGTCCTCCTGTAATGAACTTCCAGGTATACGAAAGTACATCCACTGATTTACAACAAAGAAAATTCAGACTTACCAAACAACTTCTAAAAGCTTTCTAATGTTAAATAGTATGTAGTATGTAAACCAAAATAATATTTATGTTAAAGGTTCAGCTTTTGAAAACAAGTTGCAAATACGCTTACAACTACTGACCTTAGCTTAAATGAGAAAATGAGAAGCTTAGACAATTTTTTTCATCAGGTGTTTGTTCTATGAAAAGGTAAAATACTTTTATTTTTCTCATGATGGACCTCATCAAAATGTGTATGTTTTTCACTGTGTTTCTAATAATTTTATGGAAAAAAGCATTAATGCCAATTTTTCATGTTAGAATGAAAATTGTAAATGCCAAAGCAATAGAGGTAACAGTAGACTCAACATGGGACCCTTCATAAAATATTTTTCAACCCATATGCCAAAAATCACGGACACTGGCATCAATTTATATATAGTTAACTGGGTTAATTCTTCAAAACTATCTAAATAAAAACTATTCTTTTAAAAACTGACCAACTATGAATGAGCTCAGTAAGATATAGAACTCTTTTGCTTGCTAGTTTCAGGAGGTTATTATTCTAGCATTAGTCCCAAAAGATGTTCAAACCTATTGTGAAAATTTAAGAATTTACTATTATGTTTTTTAAAAAATGCCATTCATAGTATTTCTGTACTTTTCACCATGGTAAGTCAAATTTTAGGTACATGGTCTATTTTTGAAGCCCTCCCCACCCCACCCCCACTCCCCACCGTGAAATGATAGCAAAATCTAAGTTCCCTGGGCATTAAAAACCAAACTCCTCATTTACCTAAGTTAGACTGAAAAGTGAAAACCTAAAAGATAAGAAAAAAAGGTGTTTTTCAGGCTTTATTCAACACAGTAATTTGAAAACTATTTTCCAAAGTCAATAAAATGTTGAGTTTCATTACATTTTGATGATACATTTAAGTAAGCTTTGTAATTTTGTAATTCAATTAAACTTGGATCCTTACAATGTAGAGGGCATTAGGACAGATACACATACTCATATAAAATAAAGCTATTACCCTGGAAGTTTAATATAGAATCAAGGTAGTTAAAAGTCTGGCAATACCTACAAAAAGGCAGAATGCAGTAAATGTTATTTAGAAAAAAGTAAAGTTCTTAACAGACTTAACAAGAAAGGAAATGTGTGGGATTTAAGAACAATACAAATAAAAGCACTGTTGAGGAAAGCTATTGAAGCATATCTGGAAAGACTAAATTGTTCTCTTTACAAGAAAAGTCATACAGTAGTGAGAAGTTAATCTGATAAATTAAACTGGAGCCAAAAGCCAGAAAGAGGGCTTTAAATGCCAGCAGAGATATCTGAGCAGGGGAATAATACAATGATAAATGGGCTACAAATCAATCAATCAGCAATATGTAGATATGGTTGATTGGTAAGACACAAAATAGGAAGCGAAGAAAACAAACTGTTGGCTGGAAAAGACACAGAAGATGGGAAGCCACGGCCATGGCCGTCGCAGGGGCAGGTAACAAAAGGCCTGGCAAAAAGTGCTGGCAGTGGCTGTGGAAAGAAAGGAGCACGCAGATGTGACAGGCAATTTCACATTTCACAGAATCAATAGGGTTCACTGGTTAATAAAACAACTGGCGTAAGAAATTAAAGAATTAAAAATGAGGGCCAAAAAAGGACAAGAAACTAGACTCTCCTCAATGATCTAAGAACTTTTAAATTATGTTATGCATAAAGTACATGGATAATGAGGAAAAAAACAAAAACATTTCTGGCAGGACAAAAAAATTCAATTAAGTAAAATAAGTAACATTCAAGAATGTTCTAGTTATGGGGCTCCTGGGTGGCTCAATAGGTTAAGCACCCGACTCTTGATTGTGGCTCACGTCATGATCTCACGTTTGTGGGATCAAGCCCTGCACTGGGCTCTGTGCTAGGCGTGGAGACTGCTTGAGAGTCTCTCTCCCCCTCTGCCCCTCCCCCGCCCACATGTGCACATGTGCTCTCTCAAATAAATAAATAAAGGCTTTTTTAAAAAGTTCTGGTTATAACTATTCAAAATAAAAATTTCTAACTAATGTTTTAAAATATCCACTTTATATTTTGCATATTGGTTTATTCATTTTTCCAATGAATGCATATTTTCTTCTTCAGTAACTTTTTAATTATAAAAAGTTATAAACAATGGGACAATGCCAAGGTACATAAAGTAGAAAATACAAAAATCATCCTTTGCTCTTTTATTCCTAATTATGAATATCTATCGAAGTCATTATATACATGTCTCCTTCATTCTTTGTTAATGGCTGCACAAAAATAATTTTTTTAATTAAAAAAACATTTAGCAGTATTTCTAAAATGTGACAATGATAAATATCAGATACATAAACCTTTTCTATAATAATTTCAAGCTACATCTTTCAAGATTATCTTGAAAAAGGAAGGAAAGGTAACCTGTCAAATTTTGAGACACGTTTTCTAAATGGAGAGAAGAAGCAAGAAAAAAACATAAAATAATGTATTTTTTCTCCCTTTTCACTAAGTAAGAGGAGAAATAAAAAAAAAAAACTAAAGAAAACTTCTGGAACTTATTTTCTTTACATCTCAGGAAAGTGTCCTTGTACGTACTCCCATAAGCCTCCTATGGGACAGCAGTGAACTCAAGAAAGCTGAGCGTGAGATGACTAATAAATGTTAGGGGAAAATGGAGCTCAGACCATATTATAAAAGGTGGGGGGGGGGAGGAGATAATTAAACCTAGACAAGGCAGGAAAAAGATCTAAAATACTCGGAGATGCTCAGCTCTTCGAGAAGTGAAATGTGAATACACAATTGTGGGTTAGAGTTCACAGAAGAAAACTAATTTGAAGACTGACTGTTTGTAAAAAGCATTCAGAACAATGAAAGGAATTTTTTTTTAAAAAAGAAACCCTAGTTAACAGACTAGACAGATTAGTAACATAACAACATATTGCATGAGAAAAAGTAGAATATCAGGACATTACAACTCACAAGTGTTTGGAAAAGAGTGGTACTAAGATGGAGAAATAAATGGAAAACTGGTTTCATCTTAATTTAAAAGCTATCACCTCTTATTAAAGAATATTCACTTTTTGCAGGAGAAAAAGAGCTGAGCAAACTTAAAACACAATTATTTCTCCCCCTGCTCATGATAAAATAATGTGTGGCAATAATCCTAAGTATCCCTACCCTTCTATTCACACTTTTTTTTTTTAAACAGACCTCTAGAAGCTGTATCCATGGCTTTCAAGCATGACAGCTTTGTACTTCCACCAGCAGGTGGTAAAAAGTGCTGTCATTCCTGTCACTGCCACCAATACCAACTCCTACCACTATCAAACCCTGAAGCATCAGGTAAGATAAAGGAGGAGAGCAGAGTGTAGCTGGAATTGAGGTCATTTTCCTCACCCTGCTTACATGAAAGCAGTATGTCATATATTTCTGAGAGGCATTAAGCAAGGTAGACTACCAAAGCACATCCAGCAATTTTTCACGGTGGAAAGTAAAAGGGACAAGGGAACCTTGTTAACCTTATTGTTAAGATTACAGATAATTGCTTTCCACTCAGACAACTATGGACATACAATACTAGTAATAGATGCAAAACGAACATTTTTTAATTTAACATAAAATTTTTAAAATGTTAATGCTAACAAATGAGAGTCTTGTCCACATTAGACACAGACTGTAAGAGTAAGAAATACTAAGATTTATATATACGGGAGCCATTAATATAGTATTACATACAATCCCATTGTCATATGCTGTATATTGCACATACTGTATATTGATTGGGTAAAGAAGAACCAATGATATATGTTTCACCCCAATATTGTTAATATCTTAAAACGGGTTAAAATGTAACAAATCAAATTTACATAGTGTACACTTTAACCGTTTTCCCAATTCTGGAGTCTTTCTTTTGCTATTACATTTTTTCCAACTATCACTTCTTACAAGCAACAAAATGCTAGCAAACTGTAGCTACCTAACTGTATAAAACTGTCTTGGGACGCCTGGGTGGCTCAGTCAGTTAAATGTCCAACTTTGCCTCAGGTCATGATCTCATGGTTCGTGAGTTCGAGCCCCACATCGGGCTCTCTGCTATCAGCACAGAGTCTACTTGGGATCCTCTCTCTCCTTCTCTCTCTCTCCCTTCCCCACTCATACGTGTGCACTCTTTCCCTCAAAAATAAACATTAAAAAAATTATTTTTAAAAAAACCTGTCTTTAATCCACATGATACATGTGGATACATGATATAATAATGGTCTATAAACTACTGTAACCCTTAATAATACTTCCCCAATAAGTGCCTGATACATACTCACTGATCAGTAAATATTAGTGAAACTGAAATTAACAATTTTTAAATTTCTGACCCCATGTATCTTGTTTAGGAGAGCATTTTTCAAAATGTATCCCACCTATATCAGAATCTTTTACGGTGTTTGTTTGAAATTCCAATTTCTGGGCTCCACCTTAGACTTTATGAATCAGAATATCTGTGGTTGCAGTTCTCACTGTAAATTTTAATAGGTACTCTCAGGTGATTTGTGTGCTAAAACTTAAGAATGACTACTTTAAAGGGGCGCCTGGGTGGCGCAGTCGGTTAAGCGTCCGACTTCAGCCAGGTCACGATCTCGCGGTCCGTGAGTTCGAGCCCCGCGTCAGGCTCTGGGCTGATGGCTCAGAGCCTGGAGCCTGTTTCCGATTCTCTGTCTCCCTCTCTCTCTGCCCCTCCCCCGTTCATGCTCTGTCTCTCTCTGTCCCAAAAATAAATAAACGTTGAAAAAAAAAATTAAAAAAAAAAAAAAGAATGACTACTTTAAACACTTGAAGATGGACTATGTATCAAAGTGACAGATAGTCAA